ACGCCGCTATCAGTGGGCGCAATCCCATCATGGTTAATCTAGTGGCCTTGGCTGTGTGCGACACATGTGGAGCTTTTCCGGCTGCGATGTGTTGCAGGGAAGTAAATTCTGGCTCATAAGTAGTATGGAGTTTCTTGGGCTTCAACGACCGCGACCTCCTTCTCGAGATCCGTGCATTCTCCTCTCTTGCCCCCCTCGGTTTGATTGGGGTTCAGGTCCTGTCTTTTTTTTGTGTCTTAATGGTCTTCCATTTCTTTGGACGCAGGTCCTGAAATGGTTTGTCTGCCTCCTTGTTGATATTTCCGTTGTCCTGATGTCCATGTTCTCTCACTCTCTTCTTTTCTGCCTACCTGAAAGCAACGCATTCTGAGAATCCCTCTTCTTTTTTCAGGATCTCGTACTTGTCAGATGCCATGTTAATCCCTGCAATCGTACCTTGCTTTTGCGTTCTTTCTGTATGTTTCAAGCATAATGCGCGGATATTGAAGAAGTGTTCCCTCTCCCACTTGGCCTTTTTGATGTGTTCACGCAACCATTGAAGAGGCCTGTTGGGGGGGGTGCCTGGTCGCTGTTGGGGGCTGAACTGCAAGAGCTTTTGCTGTCATCGCTGCCCTCTCGGTCCATGGTTGAGTCTGAGTCTTTGGTTGGTTCTTCAGTTGCCAGTGCAGTGTCCTGTGGGATGGCAAAATTGCCATCTGAGTCATTTGCTCTTCTCCTGTTTGAGTCTGATTGCCCTATGGAGTTTGTCTTCTAATGATCGTTTGTTCTCAATCATCTTTTGCTCATTGTCCTGGTCTCTAAGGTCAATTGTTTCTTAGGTTCTCGTGTGAGTCTTTGCTGGTTCCTTACTGTACTCCTGTTCAACCTGTTCCCTCAAAAAAAAAAAAAAAAAAAAAAAAAGACCAGATCCCCTTTTCTATTTACTATTTATTTATTTATTTTTGTTACATATGCTCCAATCTATTCGTGGGGAGCAGCACGTGCTGGGGACCAGATCCAGTACTAGATCCTCCCTTCCTTTTTCCTCCCTGATGCCACGAGAGTCATTCAGGGGGATAACATTGATGTTACATGCAGCGCGTGCACACACGGGCCATTTTGCAGGCCCGACAGCGTTCAGGCCAAAACCCTGAACTTGAGGCCGAAAGCCTGAATTTCAGGCTGAAAGCCTGAAATCCAGGGCTTACAGACCCCCTGTCGGTTCAGGCCAAAAGCCTGAAGTCCAGGGCCTATCCCTGGTCGTTTCAGACTAAAAATGGCAACARCCTTTTTAGCCTGAAACGAAGGGCCATTTTCGGTCRTTCMTCAGAACGACCGGCCCTGAAACTSAGGCACCGAACCAGGGTTTCGGAAACAGACTATTATTAGTCKGTTTCCCACGCCAGCCTCAAGCAGGCTGCTGCACGCCAGCCCCTGGCACATTTCGACATTGGCAAGAGCTGCCTCCTCGGCCTGACTGCCCTCCAGTAGTCAGGAGGCAGGCCGAGGTAGTACATAGGACTTCCCAGGCACTTCAGAGGGAGGCAGTTGGTAGTTGTAGTCTTCAGGATTCGGGTGCAGCACTCCGGAGGGAGCGCTGCGTTGTAGTAGTAGTAGCRTTAGCTAGTAGTCTTCAGCGCTGGGCGCAGTAGGTAGCTGTAGTCTCCAGCGCTGGGCGCCATAGCTAGGTAGTACTAGAGGGAGCTTGGGCGGAGGCCAGAGGTACCTACCTGCAACGCCGTTGCTCCAGCTTCGTCTTCGAGGTACCTGCAGCACAGCGCCAACATCACAGGTTAGTTCTTGGTTCGTAACAAAGAGAGAGAAAAAATTCTTCTTCTTCCTCTTCTCAGTCCACCATCTCTTCTCTCCCTCTCACTTCTGACTTCACTGCATCTGCAGACTATGAGAGAAGAGATACAGAGCTTGGTGACATTGGATCCAGACTCGACTTTCGAGGGTTCAGACATGGCAACGAGGGACTATTTGGGATTGGTGACCAAGACTTGGTGTTAACGACATTCCCATCTTCTTCCCTCCTTTCGTCTGTTCCTTATCTCTTCGTCTATGTATGTCTGGACCTGGCGCTTTCTTCCTGTGTGTAGCGCCAGGCTCCTTCACACTTCGTGATGGATACAAGGCATGTTTAGTCTGAGTTCAAACATTGATTGGGCTAGTTAGAGGTACTCTAGCATTCTGCTTCG